ACCTTTTTCACAGATCCTTGAACTAGTACCTGGCAAATCTGGCGGTTAGGACTGGTAAGGCCAAGTCCATAAAAAAAAGGAAGTAAAAGCGATTTTAGGAATTACAGGCCTGTGTGTCTCACTTCGTCAGTCAGTAAGGTAATGGAAAGAATGGTGTGTGAAAGAATAAGGAGTTTCCTCATATCGAACCAGCTTCTGTCTTCTTGTCAGCATGGATTCCTCCCAAAAAAGTCTACCGCTTCCGCGCTTCTTTCCACTATTCCAGCCTCTTGGCAGAGTTTCGCGCATAGCAAAATAGAGGATGTCTGTCTTATTACCGATAATTGATTTTATTCTAAAGCTTTCGATCTCTGATTTCCTTTAATCTCGTATGTTCGTGAGCTAAGCCAGAGTGGGGAAATGAACGGGTCTCTTCACTCAATTTCTAGAAAGTCGCTTGCGTGTCAGGATAGCGGTATCAATAGGGTCGTTAATGCAATAGCCACATGTTGTCGTCGCACTGCTATCAAAACTGAGTGAGTGTCGGTTGTCCCCCAAGGCTCTTGTCATTAGGTCCATTTGATGTTCATTAGTACGTTTAATGATCTGCGCCGATTTTTGTTTCGTTCGGTATACACTGTTCGAATGGTATTGCGCACCGATGTTAAGGTTTCACTGCCGTTGATCAGCCCTTAGTGTTACAAGTTGCACTTGATGCCATATCAAGTTGGGCTATAGAAGCTGGGGACTTACCATTTCCTTGGACAAAACAGTTGTCCTGCGATTAGGGTCCTCTTGTCGCTCCACTCCAAAGTTCTTTATAGATGGTGTTGAACTAAAGGAACCCGTTGTACTAAGAGACCTGGGCATCTGCTATATTCACTCATTATGTTTTTATTTTACCAGATTAGTCCCCCGTCAACCGCCGGGACCTTCCTTTCCTGCGCAAGCTTTCTATCCTCCGCTATGGTCCCTTCCTCCTGTGACACCAACACCTCGTGGAAGTGACGCGTATGCACACACAATGGTGTTTCAAACAGTAGAAGGGACACAATCATGATATGACGGTAGATTTTTCGCTTCCCTTCCTCATCCTCCCTTCCTCTCTCCACTGCCCTCCAGCTGCCACTGCAGCACCATGTGGAATGAACGGAAGTGTGCTAAGCAGGTGTTTATATAGCCCTAAGAGTGTTATCACAACTATCCTGCTACAAAACATTGATATCTCAAATCCTGTAAGCTACCCGATTTGTTAGCGGTTTGTTTATCCCATGAGCTTCCTTCTCACTCACTTCATTTTGCGGACGGACACACATACATACACGCACACACACACACACACACACATACAGATACACAAACCGACACACAAAGTTAGCGCTTTATATAATAGAAGGATAATTAAGGTGGTAAGTTTGAGCCCATTGCAGGCGGCGAACTTCATTTTGCGCGCTTTCGCTACTCGAAGTATAAAAACTCTGTTCAAAGCTTTTTTCTTCTTACGTTCGTCCTATACTAGAGTATTGCCCCATGGTATGGAGTCCCTCTACGCGTAACATGGTGGATCTCATTGAGAGTGTTCAATCCAAATTTACTGAGCGAATTTTTGCTCGTGAAGGTATTTTTCATATTTCTTACAGAGAAAGACTGAGCCATCTAAACGAAAATACCTTAGAAATGAGAAGGAAGTTGTCCGATTACGATTTTGTTTACAAGCTTTCCGCAGGGTTAGTTGATTTGGATTTTGATGCTCTCTTCAAGAAATCAACAACTATTGGTCGTACTAGAGGTCATAGCTATAAACTCCTAAGGGAGAAAACTCACTCTGCTGAATATCGAAGTTCTTTTACACAAAGAATAGTCACTTTATGGAACGAATTGCCACCCTCTGTGGTTCAGTCAAGCTCTCCCAGCTCGTTTAGGAAAAAGCTAAAGGAGATTCTGGTGTCTCGAGGTTGGTTTTAAGAGCAAGAAACTAAACCCTACATAAACTTATGAGGCAGAGAAGCGATTCATTTGCTAGTTGCTACATGATTTTGAGTGATGTAGTAATCTGTTATTTTTTTTATCTATTTACTTTCATGAATATTGCTTCTTGTTGTTGTGATGAATAATTTTTTCCTTGGCCACTGCGCTGCTGGAAGTTGGATTTCGGCAGATTGGCGGACCTACTAAGTCGGTATCCGGAGTTCCTGGTATTCTTATGAGCTTGCAGTGTTGGGGGCCACTGCCCTTTCGAGCCGATTCCACTTCCCTTCTACGCAGCTGAGGTTCTTGTCCTTCCATAAGATTGAAATTTTTACTTATCGGAGAATTGTTTCTGTTTTCCTTTTTACCAACTTGTTTTCTTCGTTTGATTTCCGATAATAAATCATTAAATCATTTTTGAGATTTCTCAATTTGAGTGCTTGTGCGATTGAAAGAGCGAGACGCGTCGCTAGGGTTAGCGCATTCATTTCCAACTTGAGGCATGGTCGTCTTTGTTTTGATGGATGGTAACTTGCTTTTAGCATCATCAACGAAGATGTGTTCCTATTTAAAAGGTAACCGCAAGCAGCAATGGTTATTTCGCTTGCGTCGGCGAAAACCGCTAAGTGTTGTGTTTCAGGATCAGTATGAAATCGCCTTGGAATTGATTTTTGGAAGCCATTGATGTTCCGACTGATTTCTGTCCATTGGCTGGTAACTTCTGGAGGTAGTTCGGAATCCCACTGAAATTTTAACCCTCCAGAGATCTTGTTGGAATTTCTTCGCTGGAATAAGTAAAGGAACGAGCCATCCTAGAGGATCGTAGATAGAGGCTATTTTTCTTGCTACAGTCCGCTTTGTGATAGGATCGATCGGAGTTAAGGAGCAATAGACTTCAAAACAATCAGTTTCTGCGTTCCAAGGTATTCCGAGCACTTTTTGTGTTGAAGATTTGGCGTATGCAGTTTCTGGAAGATGCTGGCTCAGCGTTTTGTCATTAGACAAGAATTCTCTTAGGTTCATGCCCATTTCTTCAAAAATCTTGCGAGTTTCCAAAACTTTTCGGTGGCTTCGGTAGGTGTGTCGGCGGAAAGGATGAGATTATCCACATACAAATTCTCTCGAATTTCATTCGCAAGATCCGTGTTTGTAACAGCATGACTTAGATGATGATGAATTGTTGCGCCTAGTAAATATGGTGATACATTTAGTCCAAACGTCACTCGAGTAAATCGAAAAGTTGTCACATTTTGTTCACTGAATGGCGCGTTCACGTCGCGAACCCATAAAGATCGAGTTGCGTCTCTGTCGGCTTCATGTAAGCGCACCTGTAGAAGGGCCTTTTCGACGATGACATATTCGGGGATTCTGAAGCGCAGCATCATAGCGTAGAGCTCCGGGAGAATCAGGGGTCCTTGATGAAGAACGTCGTTCAGGGAAGGACTATCTTTGAAATGTGCTGAAGCATCAAATACAATGCGTAATTTGGTGGTTTCCTTGTGTGGTGTTATTACTGGTTGATGTGGTATGTAGTGCACAATATTGCCTTCAGAGGTGGGGAGTCTGCGATTTCTTCGATAACACCGATTTCTTGCTGTGCACGAAATGTTTCTTCGTAATCACGCAGTAATTGAGGAGTTTTTCGCAGCGTTTCTACAACTGCTTTCAGCCGTTTGAACGCAATTGCTTTGTTGGTTGGTAACGGTGGATGATGTTCTTTATAAGGAAAGCGAATGTAGTAACCATCCTTGCGTTTTTCAATTGTGTCTTCGAAAAACTTTGCAACTTTTGCATTTATCGCATCCTTTTCGGCATTTTTTGTTCCAGTGAACTCGCACACTCCAGCAGAGTCCATGGTCCAGTATTTGTCCCACCTTTCCATTTCTTCATCGAAGTTACTTGAAAAATTCACAAAGGTCGCCATATCCGACTCACCTACCCGACTAGTGCTCTACGCTAGATCTCTTTGCTGCATCAATTCCATTTGTCGCCCTGTCAGCAGGTATCCCAATTTTGAAGGGACAAGTTGCAGTCTAGAAGGTAACGTATGACAGAATGAGGCACTTGAAGAAAATTCCATAATTGATCGCACCCTAATAGAATCTGTGGTTTTGAAGTATGTCCGTAATCTTTCCTGGATAAGGAAATTTTGTGCTGCGTAATGTACTCTAATTCCGCGGTGCCTAATTGTGTAGCTTTTCCCTTAGCGCTTAGGACTGGTATAGTGTAAAGGCGCAAATTATGCTTCACACCTTCATGGTACCACAGGTCTAACCATGCTTCTCCACAAGTCCTGGGTGTTTCTGTACCAAAGGTGTACACCTTGAAGCTCTTTTGCCCATTACATACAAATCCAAGTTCTTCGGCAAGCCCTTGGCTAATAAAGGATTGATCAGCGCCTGTGTCCAGTAAGACTTCAACGTCTTTCCAGGCATTCCGACTCGAGTCTCTCACTCGAGCGACTCCTGTGAGTAAAAGGACCCTACTTCCCGCCTTGCCGGTTTCTTGACTTGCATTTCTGGGAACGTTTTTTTTTTCATAGTAGAAAGGACAGTCTTTGAACTGTTCTCTCCTTCGCAAACCGTAGCTGTTTCACAAGCACAGAAAGCTGTTTCGAGCAAATGCGCTTGTGTTGATTTCAATTTCTTTTGTGGCGCTTTTCTCGCAGTTTTTGATGTATTCTGGTATGTAGTAGGTGTTTCTGATTGCACCAATTCGGGCTCTGCTTTTTCCTTCACTGGTTGGTCTCGCCCGTTTGAAAAACGTTGTGGGCAGAGCGTATGGTGATGCTTTTTCCCGTTGCATAGCCTGCACCCTTCTTTCGGGCAGTCTTTGACAAAGTGTCCTTTGTTTAGCGCAATTGAGGCATTTGTTGAGCTCACGAAAAATTGCGCGTCTCTCTTCCGACGTGGTGTATTTTTGGCAGGACATTGACTTGTGATTATCACCGCAGAAAATGCACTGTCCACTGTTCATGAACTTCGGCTTGGGTCGTATTGTCTGATCTTTTCCGTATGCAGCATCTTCATGTTTGTTGTTAACCATATCGTTTATTTTTTTTCCATTGATATGATTTCGTCGAGATCGGCTAAGGTGTCTTGCATAAACCAAGCGCTTTCACCTAGGCATGGATTCATTCTCAGACGGAGAACTTTCCTCTGGAGATCTACCGAGAACTTTGAAAGTATTTTTTGTACGAGAAACGATCCATCTAGAGGTACACCCTTCTCCATCGGCTGTGTCACTATTGGGATGAGAAATTCTAGGAGGCGCCGCTGTGCTGGGATCGTTAATTTTTCTGCTTCCGCGTTTTCCAAGCGAGACTGTAGACAAGCGATGAACTTAGTGTCATCGCCGTATTTAGCGCATAAAAGGCGAACAGCATGGTCGTGGTTGTCTTCTGTAACTGGGTAGCGGCGCACTGTTTCGCGAGCTTCTCCGCGTAGCGCATTTAATAAGTAGTTGAACTTGTGTAGCTTCGTCAATGGTTGGTTGTGGACGTTTGCTACGAACAATGCCCAAAAGTTTTGGAATTCCCAAATTTTCCCACTGGAGGTATGGGTATAGGTGGAAGTGCGCTTTGAGCGACTGTTACTTCCTTCATTGTTGGATATTGCGCTTGGAAGCTAAAAGGCGTTTGCGCGTATTCACGGATGCTCATGCGGTTGCATTCTATTTCGATGGCAGTTGTTTGCGCGAGTTCCATGGTCCGGTGCGCTTTTGCCACATAGTCATCTATTTGTTTTTGCTGTTCCTCCGAGATCGGATCAGTCAGCGCATCGCACAATGCCGTGAAGGAGTCTAGCGCTTCATGAAGCATTTTTGCCCCAGAATGTAATTGAAGTGCGACAGTCTGTGCTTTTTTCGATGCTATATTGTCATAGAAAAGGTCAGATTCTGCTTTTACGATCTTTTCGTTTTCTTTTATTAGGTACCGGATATCTTAATGTCGTTTTTTCACCAAGAGTTTTGGACCAGCAATATTTCAGTTCAAAACCGGGG